ACATCTTGATTGTATATTGTGCTAAACAGTAATATGGAAACGATTCTGAAGATTGAGAAGTATGTGACTATTAGGTCTGATTATTGCCCATCTAATTAGAGATTAAAATGTTTGACATTCAGGTGTGATGTTGTAGAACTAAGTTAACCAGCTAAACTTGCTAGCTTGATTATAAAAATAAATGCCTATGTAAGGAGGGGACCAGTCACTTACGAGTCGAACACCTACGCTGAATTAATTAAATTTTTAAATGACTAACAATTATAAATCCAGCAGTTTAATGCGAGGATACCTTTAGTTTCTAGACATTCTATGTAAATTAAATGACATTAGACAGTTTTTCTATGATCTCGTGACATAATAAATACATTTACTTCATGTATGCTAACATCTTTGTAATTTCAAGCTGACATATGTAGCATTATTACAAAAACAGTATTAATGGATATAATCCTTTGGTCCTACAAAACGTTCCCAGATTTGGCACGTTATAACAATGAGTGTAACGTCCACATTGAATTTCGACATCATCGGTTAGACAGAAAAGATTTAGAGGAATAAAATTTGTTTCATTTCTCGGTACATACATGTAAGCTGTACACTTGGTACTTCTTGATTATTTGTTTCATTTAAACTTGCTTGATGTAAAATGCTAGAGGCATATCAATCAAGTTTGCACTTGAACTCTAAAATGTACCTGAGTACGAAGAAAATAATTGTACAAATATCAACCCTCATTTGCTAAATAACGTTTCTGGATTTATTTTCATCACCAATATGTGTAAGCATGTGAGAATCTCATGTATCGTGATAAACTAGTAATTAAACCATGCAACTTTCAACCGTTTGGTTACAGATTCGAACCACGCTAAACCTAGTTATGTTTGAGTGGCGACGTAATACTACTTACCTCCAGAGTTCTGTCGAAAAATGGACATGTAAATTGTAGTTGGTAGAAAAGTTATACTTGGTTTTTAATTAATTTCCATTTTAATGTCCCAAATTTCGTTACGTTAATAAGTTGTGGTTCTTACGTTCCACACAAAGTCGTTAAATCATAATCCAAAAAGGATAGAATAGACGTACGGGATCAGTTTACTAGACTCCAGCAAATGACATCGGTTTATGCATAGAAATCTACTACTCTACACTATACCATTTGACTTCCCCTAGCTGGTTGTGAAGTAGCGAATTTCCCCTCAGTCTTGACATTAAGCTTGAAATTTGTCTGCTTATCCTGATAGTCTGTATCTGAAGAATTCGCTATCATTCGTATTCCATCTGTAACTAAACCACATGAGTAGCATTTGAGTGCACTGAAAGTGCGATTGATGGCATTAAAAGTTGAAGTGCATTGAGAAAATAGGTATTATATTGCTACCATCATCAATAATATTATTCGGTTTCCTGCATGTGTGTTGTTATGTACTCTGGTGACGAATGACTCATCAGAGTACATAACAGCACTCACATCCAGGAAACCGAATAATATTATTGATGATGGTAGCAATATAATACCTATTTTCTCAATGCACTTCAACTTTTAATGCCATCAATCGCACTTTCAGTGCACTCAAATGCTACTCATGTGGTTTAGTTACAGATGGAATATGAATAATAATGAATTCCTGGGCTGTAAGCTATCAGGAAGAAAACCATATCTACTTAGCTTCATTATTCATAAGTTGTTGGTAAAGTTAAATAACCAGGTCAGCAATGCTGTGCTAATCAAAGAAATTTTATAGGAAAAAGTCTTCAAAACAAGATGTTTGTACTTGTTTCGGTGCATGGACCTCTTCGAATGTTTTGCTGTTAACACGTACAGTTTATATTTTGATTTTTATTTGGCCCAAGTGATTGGTAACTGTTTGGAATAATGAGTATCTGTGAAATGGATAAAGGTTTGTTGACACTTTCTTCCCATGATATCTTCGTCAATATACTTTGTCACTACATTTACGCCAGGTTGATATCTGACGTCTTGAAAGCTACAATCTTATCCATAAAAACCAATATGTTGGGTAAACTATTAGTTTACGTAAGGCAGTTGGCTACGGTTATGAACCAAACAAATTTTGGTTGGTTGAAAAAACTGGGTTCTCTTGGTGGTAGTCAGACATTAATTCGTTTATCTGATATAATTCGAAGATACTGGATTCATTTATAATCTATAGTCTGGTATATCAACAAAGCAGTTTTCTTTGAAATGTAAAGCAAGAATGAACTTTTCAACTGTCTGTTTGAAATAGACATCAACTTCACTCACTGAATAATTCCCACCATTCCAGTGGGAAGGAATCCCGAGGCAAATACATCGGCGATTTTAATGCTGTATTCTCAGATACTTGTGAATGTTTCTTCATATCATTCCAGTAGGCCATTCCTTGTACAAATTAGATTTTGTTTTCATGTGCATCAATGGTATCATTCTGAAAATAGTTCTAAAGACCAGGTCCAATCTCGTTTTAGACTTGAAACATCTACACTATCACTCAACGTGTATATATTACTGAGCCTTCTAAATGGTTTCGACTGATTGGAATGTTCATCAAGCATCCTTCACCGTACAACAACTACCTTATGGTCCTTCAGAGTTTGTCTCAAAAACCACATGTCCTAACTTCGGGAAGTAAAGTGATTTAAAAGTGCCCTTCCGTTCAGGCATGTGAATAGTGAGAATGGTGCGAGTACATATACATCAAGCCCACTTAATTTTTTTCCATTGGGTATTATTTGTAACAGCAAGAACAAACTAATCTGTCTGTTTACATCCTCATGTTCGCAGAGTAGGTTTTCCTGACTCCATTTATTGTCTGGACATGTAGTAAGACGCATAAGTTGAATGTCATGCTACAATGAATGTGTATACACATACCTATAAACCCCGATCTTTCTTGTCACTCAAAATTCTACTTGTTTCCTTTGAATACCCATACGAATGAATTTCGAATTGGTAGTAGGGGATCCACAGAATGTTTGCAGATTTTCGAAAAGCCTTATCGTATACAACTTTTAACCAACAGCCAGATGATGTAACTTTCCATAAACTTATCAGTATACATGAAGTGCTTCTTGTTTGGAAAACCAACTGATATATACATATATACAGAACAGCATACCCAAAATACTAAATTATTATACTTCTACTTAACCATCTAGGCAAGTGCTGTAAACGAGTTGTTCGCTGATAGTGTCACGCTGAAGATGGGAGTTAAACTTTAATCTGAAGGATAAATATGCCCGTCTTGCCTTAAATGTCCTCCTCAATAATAAAAATATTTTGTAACTAAACAATCATCCCATGTCCGTTTAATTATCTATACACCCAACTCCAATATCAATCTTAAAGTTAAACTGTCATCTGGACTTGTCTCCACATCAACAAAATGCTTCAAATATCAAAAACCTGTGAACCAATTTTGTACGTGTTCGTCATTTAACTGGTTCCAATAGTCGAATTGCCTAAAATTACATCAAGCTAAGGAACTAAATTTTTTCAACCCTCACAGTAAATCTGAATACATTTCTACAAGAGTTCGTGAATAACTACACTCGACGGAGATAACCCAGCGTTTAGATAGACGGCGATTCGGCATACATATTACATGTCTTAACTACCTCAGTTGGTGAATATTCACTACTTCATCAAGTGGCATTCTATCCTTGCTTAGCACCTTGCCATTAGCATCAACATTGTCCACTCGGTGCTCCTAAAATATAAGAACAATGTTTCAAAGTCATCTCATGGACATAACAAAGTAAAACAGAAGTGATTAACTGTATACTCGTCTTTTGGTTGGTAAACGGAAATTTAGCCTTCACTACAAGTGATGCATGTTGACGAAAGTAAAACAGAAGCAAAAGGTCAAGGAAGACCAATCGAACTTTGGAGGTTCTGCTAGACTAGTATATGCTTAGGAACGTATCAGTGGGTCCATTACCAATGAGGGAGCAAAGAAGATTGAAATAGAAACGAACGAAGACTACGTGGTAATCGAGAGGTGGTGGGTAACAAAAACAAAAAAATGGGAACAGTAGTGGTGATGGGTAACATGAAGCAATTGTTCAGGAAGATAAGGGATAAAAAGTCGGTTGTTAGCAAAATTATCTCTCGGAGAGATGGACTACTTTCAAATCGAGCAACCAGAATTATGAGCGAAAAACGCTGCAGCAGTTTAACTGTTATCAAGCTACAGTCTAACTACCCAGTACTCACTAACAGCCTGAACAGTAGAGCACTATCGATCTCACAGAAATCGAGGAGGCAACGACTCGATGGAAATATAACAGCTGACTAATTGTTTTCTGAGGTCTATCTTCAGCAGTTAGATTGACTGACAAGTTAGAGAATGGGAACCGGGATATAATTTTTCCCAACTGATTGTGACCAACGATCATTCCGATTTATAAACGAGGATGAAAATCCTAGTGAGACAACCCCAGAGCAGTCCATAAGACTGATAATGAACCTAAAACAATATCATTTACTATCATCCAACACTTAACTATTTGAGGTTTTTAAACTTAAAAAAAGGTTATTCCTAGACCTAGCACTGACTGAATACATATCATTTGTGGTTTTAGGACATACATAATTTTACTAATGCTCAGCTAGTAAGATCCCTTAACGTTGAATATAATTGGATAAGATTACGGAAAGATAAGATACAGAATCTGGTTGACGATTACTAAAAAAAGGTCCAAATAAAACAACAGTACAGATGGTTTTTAGAAAATCTAAGTTTCGTATGTAGCAACACACTCAATGTAAATAAACATTACGATTGTACTTAAAACAATTAAAACTTAACAAAGATGACTAAAAAGTATCAACAATGAACGATGTTTATGAACCGTGCAGTTGCACAATTTTATTCAGATTACGACTAAAGTACAATGTACAAATCTGCTTTGGGAAAATACAATCTGAATGATACAAAATAAGTAAGTTGAGTGTCTTATTTACTTCAGATAAGTTAAAACAAGAAACCTTGACAACTTCATTGCTGGAAGTTTTCTCACAACAGTCGGTTATTAATTTATTAACAGACCATGCACTGATAGTTAAATTTCTTTGTTCAGCACATGATGCGACGAATCTTAGCAAACACTGACTATACGGTCTGTTTTGTGGAGTAAATAAGCTCCAAGCTAATTCTGATTCATACACATCTTGCTGATCGACATGAATAGGAATTAATCGTACAACAGATCCACGAGGTTTACCATTCATTGAAACAACACCCATAGTAAAGTAATATGTACATGAATTTAATAAACAGCTTTTTACAACAACGGAAAACACCAAAAAATTAGGCCGTTCACTTGCAACAACTAAAAGTTTAGAACATGGTTTCACTGGAGCATTTAAGTAGATATTCTGTACCAATTTACTGAACGTAAACCGTTCTGACACGTATTCACCCACAAAGTGTTTCCCACTGTCGTTTGTGCGCATGAGACAACCAACAAGTTCGGTTGATGATGGATTGAAATGAATGCCTAGAATACAAACCGACTGTGATAATGATGTAGGCTTTTCTGAACAATGACTTAATGCAGTAAACCAAGAGTTAAAATTTGGCTTAGGTGCATCCATTGAGTCACAGCGACACAACAAAGGAACTAAACATAATTTCCCATCATATGATAACTGGTGAATGGTGTATGAAAGCATATCAGGAACATATAACACAAACATTAGATCACTTTTACGATTGACATAAAATTCATACACAATTCCCGAAGAACACGTACGATCTATATTGAAATTCGCATTTATCACTGGGACTGTTTGTACATCCGTAAGGCATAGGTGAGTTAAATGATTATCGGCTGTAAAGCTGATAACAATTGGGATAGAAAACATGAATAATGATAGCAATAGGACTGGTAAGCTTTTTTGTGAGTGTTTTTCAGCCAATAAGACACCTATATGAACAGTTTCTTTACCGCAGCTACCTGGAGGTATAATAATTTCCAACAGTGTCACTTCGGAGACAAACAGCTTTCTTTCCCACAATAACCGTGATTCATAGTTACAAAGTGATATACTATACAAAGTGAGCATATGATTAGAGTCATACAAAGTAATTAACAGAGAATTCGATAAAAGAATACAGGATCCTAAAACACATAGAGTTATGTGTCTGCAACACTCTTCACTGGTAGGTTGAATAAGTACACTTTGCACTGGTGATTCGCTTGATTCGAATAGTTTCACACTAATAATTTCTACTGTGATAAATCTAAATATTTAAATATTTACCAGAATCTTCCGGAATTATTTCAGATGTTTCCTCTGCTACAGGCAACAAAATACTCGGCTGGGTGATTAAAGTAGACTTTAATTTCTTCTCAGCTTTCTGTAAAAATATTTACCAATCAAAAATTCATGAATACCTGAAGAAGCAAACGTTTCTTTTCAAGCTCTTGCTGCAAAACGTGAACACGTTCCTTAAGATTCTCACATCGATTCATCAAATCAGCCAATAAATAAATCAAATGCAGTCTGCACTTTTACGAATGTAATCTGGTGCGGTATAAAAAACTTATTAAGTCAATGTGATTTGTTAATTATTAGAAATGGTAATGCAATTCGATCTGACCTAACTTATGCCGCACAAACTGCCTATATCTTAATTCAATGTTGTGGTTTGAAACTTTGCTTTATTTAAATCCCAAATTCGAGACGGTTTTATTGAAAACTTCGAGAGAAATGCGACACAAAATATGAGAAATACCCAAGTCAGTCCAATTAGATGTGTATAGCTTCGGTTGGTCCTTGGCCTAGGCCAAGGGTAGAATTATACTTTACTCAAATTGAACAGCGTAGTCTACACAACTCACTAAGAGCCGTTAGATTAGTCAAAAACTATGGACAAAAACCAGTCTTTGGTTTGCACGGCATTTAAATTTCTAGGCAAAAGGATGGTATAAAGGTTAATCAGACACAGTCCTTGAGGCTCAAACACATACTGACTCAGCATGTGACGAGACTAGCCAAGAAGGACGGTGATCTTAGACCCCGTCTAATGAAGATAACCTTCCCATCTTCCCACATGGCGGCTGCAGTTCTGGAAGCATTTCGTGCTAATAGACGTCGATTGCCACCTGGAATCCACATGCACCCGGATAGGCCATACGAAGTCAGGACCAAGAACAAAGGCAAGCTGGAGCTGACCATTCCACTTGTGGACTGTCTAAACGATAAAAAAAACGTGTAAAGGACAGGGCCTACCACCTCGGCAAACCTCATATAGGTGGGCTACCTGTCCATTCACATAAGGTTCATACAGAAAAACAGGACGAAGCTCATGCGTTCCAAATTGAAAGCATAAACTGCTTATATATGAACGCCGCGAGTTTACCAAACAAACTGGATGAACTACGTGAACTTAGCAACGCTAACAAGGCCCATCTGATAGGAATATCTGAAACCTGGATATCTTCTCAGTTCTCGGATCAAGAGTTAGCATTGCCTGGGATGACTTTGTTCCGCAACGACAGAAAAATAGGAATTGGGGGAGGAGTAGCCATATACATAAGCTCTTGCTTGGAGGTGCACCAGGTTCACAACCTCGAGTTTAACAATCTTGAGGAATCCATATGGTGCTCTGTAAGGTTGTCTAGTACTTCCAGGTGTCTAGTCGGAGTCATTTACAGGAAGCCAACTGCCGACACCGAGTACGATAGTCGTATGCTGGAAGGACTATCCCGCTCTATCCGTCTCGGTTTCACACACATCCTGATTCTAGGGGACTTTAATCTCCCTAGAGTCAACTTCGCGGAACACACGTACACTGGAGGCGACAACTCAACTGAAGCTCGGTTCTTCAACCTCATCGATAACTTGGGCTTATATGAAAATGTGAGGTCGGCAACTCGTTGGAGAAACAGTCAGACACCATCGCGCTTAGACTGTGTATTCACTAACGAAGAATTCCTAGTCGACAACCTCTCAATCCTGGCTCCTCTGGGAAAAAGCGATCATGCCGTCATAGCCTTCAGTTTTGTCATCAAAACTAAGCTAAGGTATCCCAACAATAATTTGCGATGGAATTTTAAACGGCTGAATGTGCGAGCTCTACATGACCATCTACAACAGGTGGTTTGGGATGTTCGCCCTCAAATCGATATGGATGGTCATTGGGACTTCTTGCTGCACACGCTCTTATGTGCTACAGACCATTCAGTTCCTCAAACGGTTCCCAAAAGCTTCAAGCCACCTACAGTAATCAAGAACCGTACCCTTCGCCTCCTAAGCCGCAAACGGCACTGTTGGGCGGAATACAAACGAACTAATAACGATGGAGCGTATAGGCAATACAAACATATCAGGAACACATGCACGAAGGCTATAAGAGAAGACAGGCTTCAGTACCAAACAAAGCTTATGGACAAATTCGCCTCTAACCCTAGAAGCCTATTCCGTTATGCAGCCTCTCTTCGTCAAGCCAAAACAGGAGTTTCTCAACTGCTAGGTCCTAACGGCCCGACCAACAACGATGGCGACGCCGCTAACCTTCTGGCGGCCCATTACTCTCAAACATTTCAACCGGCTGATATCAACTTTACTCATGACAGTTTCATCTGCAATTCCACAGGACTTTCTGAAGTGGACCTAAGCGCTGACTTGGTGTTCCGGAAACTGCAGCACTTAAGACCTGACACTTCTCCTGGCCCGGATATGGTTCATCCTGCCATACTGAGGGAGGCAGCCTCAATCCTGGCAACGCCGCTTAGCGTGATGTTTTCACACTCGCTTAGCCGAGGAAAACTACCGGAAAATTGGAAGTTGGCTCACATCACACCAATTTTCAAAGGTGGTCGACGCAATGAACCTTCAAGTTACCGGCCGGTAGCTCTTCTGTCGTTACCTTCAAAACTCATGGAGTCCCTGATATGCAACGGTTTAAATGACTACCTACTGTCCTTAAATTTCTTCTCACCCCAACAGCATGGTTTCAGGAAGGGTTACTCTTGTATAACCAACCTGCTGACTGCGGTGGACAGATGGACAAGCATCCTCGATCGCAAGGGAAAGGTTGATGTCATTTACTTTGATTTCTCAAAAGCTTTTGATAAGGTTAACCACTTGTGTCTTATCAACAAGCTCAAACGACTAGGTATCAAACCACCTCTAATCGACTGGCTTACTTCATACCTAAAAAATCGACACTTTAAGGTTAGGGTTAATTTCACTTTATCTCAAGCTATGGAATGTCCTAGTGGGGTCCCCCAGGGCTCAGTACTAGGGCCTCTTCTCTTCTTGATCTACATAAATGATCTTCCTCAACAGGTAACGTCAGACTTATTACTTTTTGCCGACGACGTGAAACTTTGGAGAGAGATACGCAACCAAGACGATATACAGGCACTTCAAGAGGATCTGACTCGACTTCAAAGTTGGGCAGACGATAACGGACTTACCTTTAACACTTCTAAGTGTAAAGTAGTCCATCTGCGACATGTCGCAAACTACAGTTACAACTTAGGAAACTCCTCTCTAGTAGTATCCCAAGTCGACAAAGATTTAGGAGTCCTGGTGCCCCATGACTTAAAGTCTTACGCTAATTGTGACAAAAATGCCTTCCGAGCAAACCTTGCACTGGTAAAGTTGAGGCGCATTTTTGGTCAGTTTGACGGAAGAACTTTCCACACAATCTTCAATAGTTTCATCCGTCCCCATTTAGAGTACGGAAACATAGTACTCCCCCCCTCACTCCAAAAGGATAAGGTCACTTTGGAGCGTATCCAACGGCGAGCCACGAAATCAGTTCGAGGACTCAAATCTAAGCCTTACGAAGAACGCCTCCGTTCACTAGACCTTTACCCACTAGAATATAGGCGTCTTAGAGGTGATTTATTAATGGCTTATAGTATTCTTAACACTTCTGGACATCCTGTTAAACACCTACTTAAGCTTAGTTCGAACAATAACCTAAGGGGTAACACCCAGAAACTGGAAACACAACATAGCAAGACGGAATGTAGACACAACTTCTACTCCTTAAGAGTTGTCAAAAGCTGGAACTCGCTGCCGGCCGAGCTAGTCCAAGCGACTTCTCAGGAGTCCTTCAAGAGGCAACTTGACCTATTCTTAAGGACCAAGGACAGCATCGCACTATGATTTACCAATTTCTTTTCCTCTTTTATTGTTAACATACCTAGGTTCCTGCCTGGAGGATTTGGTGATCCCCTGCTACTAGACACGGAAGCCTGTTAAGCGAAAGCTTCTTCTATTCCGTCCACAACCATTTGAACCATTTGAAGGTGGGTAGAAAACAAAATGATATAAATTCCCAGCTACTTTCTGGTTAATCAGACACAGCTAAAGGTTAGCTTAAGAATAGATTTACAACGATATTGCTATATATAGCAATATCGTTGTACTATAGTAATAACGTTTATAAATGTAGACAGATTTCGTATTACTAATAAGTTTATTAATAGCTTCTGAAAACCGCTTTAACTGTAAATTGAAAGGGAACGATATGAATTTACCATAACATTAGAAGGATGAAGTCTTCTCAAAACTCACCGTCTACTTCCCAACAACTTTAGAAAATTTAAGCCATGGCGGGTGTAGCGGTAAATAAATCCCCAAAATAAATAGCACTAAGTTTTCGACATTGGATGCTGACCATATGTTTTAGTGGACTCACCTAGCTGAAGGCGCTCGGTCAGGCATCCGCACCAGATCACGTGTGGTAACGCCGTGCTCAACATCTACCGCAATCGCTAGCCAGATTAGATCAGAGAATTCCGATATATTGGTCATCGCCAAATATACTCTTCCGATCTCCTCGACTCTGTCTTTTGATTTCTCTGGGCGGGAACGAAATATATTAGAAGGTGTTACTGGTAGAAGCGTTGTCAAACACTGAATACCTGTGACATCATCACGGGTATTCTGTATTTGAAGTGGATGAGGTCAAATTCATATTTACGTAGTAAGAACAGAAGGCCTATAGCCTATGTTATTCCTTTTCTAATATGCTTCTATGAGTGTCCAGTCTTCTCTTGAGTAAGTAAATTGGAGGTACAGACACCATTACTTCGGATAACAGGTTCCAAGAATTAATGACTCAGTGTGAAAACCTGTATGCCGCGGGTATTTTGTTCGTTGGCTTTTCTACCCCCCCCCTATGTCCTCTCAGATGTATCGATCTAGTGGGGAGAAAAAGAGAAAGTGTATTAGGTCCAAAGTCTTTTATTAGTATTCTTTAAATCAAAATCAGATCACCTCTTAATCTGCGATAGGACAGAGTAAAGATTTTTAAATTTTCAAGCCACTCTTGGTATGGTAAACCCCAGAGTTCTGGAATTTCAGGGGTACCTTCCCTTCCAGTATATCCGAGTCACCTTTTAAACAGGGGCTTGCGGCCTGAACGCAGTTCTCAAACTTAGTTCTCACTGCTACCTCCCGGCAGTGGGCCGTCGCCTTAAGATCATGACTCACTGTCACCTCAAGATCT